TTGCTGCTCGTGCTGGCGCAGCTGTCCCCGGCTCGCGGCCACCGCACCACGGGCCCCAGGGTAAGTGCGCCCCGGACGCGCGCCCACCTGCGGAGGGCGACGAGCTCGCCGGCCGCCTCGCCCCGGGGCGCGGGAGGAGGGAGGGAGGTGTCAGGTCTCCGCCTCCCCAGCGCCTGTCCAGCCCGCTTCGGGCTTCTGGCAGAAGCTGCTGAATAAAGATCGCTCCGTTGCCCCCTCCCCTTTGCCCCAACTGTCTCTGGTGGGTGTTCTTTCCCAATTTCTTCTCCCACGGTATTTTGCTCCGGGACCCCTAAAGGCGCCTCCTGCGTCCGAGGGAAGCTCCCTGAAGCCGGGCTTCCCTGTGGTCCTACGCGGCGCCCGTCCCGGCGCGCTGGCGTTTTTCGCAGGCGGCGTGGAGGGGGGGGGGCAGGGGGAGCAGCTCTGCCTGGAGAGTTTTAGGTTACCCGCGAGCCACACAAGGACCTTGTGTTGTTGTTGTTTTAAAAAGCGATCGCTGCTCGTAAAACCTGCAGTAGATAATTTTAATGCTCCCTCCTGCCGGCACGGCCCTGGAGGAGGGGCCGAGGTGGGGGGCTGCGGAGAGCCTGCGAAGAGCTGCGCCGTGTTTGAGGGTCTCTTCCCGCGGGTGCGGTGCTGGGAGGTTGGATTACTTGTTGAACCCTGGTCTGACTGGAGTTTCTGATCGACATGCAACGTGCCAATTCTGTGCACAGGACAGGCTGTCCAGGGCATTGTAAAATCTCCTGGATCCAGCATGGTTGTGTTTATTTCTGGTCTCCCCCTCCAGCTGGTCTAATAAAGATTTTCACTGCTTTAAAAATGTACCGTTAAACCATCTAGTGGATCACTGGGCCACACTGAATCCAGGCTGTCTCTGGCCACGAATCCCTTAAGTCAGGCTCTCCGGATACCTGCTTGCCGAGTCCTGAAGGTAACTAGGATGTTTAAAAAGGAAGTTGCCTGCTCATCCAGCCGGTGCCGTCCTTCCTGGATATCCATCGGCCCCCTTTCCTGGAGGGCTACCCAGCCCCATGACCACCTGTTCAGATTGCAGCTTCTTTCTTCATAGATTTTGCTATATGAGAATCATCTTTATAGCTGTCGTGTGTGGAGGGTAGCCTCACAAAGCCCGGAGAGCCTTAATGACTGCCAAGATGCGTGACTGCCCAGATGCTGAGCTGATGACATCCGATCCCAGCTATCGCTGTGAGATCAGATTTGCAGCCACTTAGGAAAGAAAAGTGTTTGTCCCCGTGTTGGGCCAGCCCTTGCTTTTATGACCAGATGTGCAACAGCAGCAGTTAAAGTGAGGCAGATTAGATCCAGGGCGTGTCATAAATCCTCGACAGCAGGCATTCCCAGCGCTGAGGCAAGTCAGGGCTCTGGGAGTGACTTTTATGGATGCAGATGAGGATGCCTTTTAAATGAAGCTGCTTGGTTTGATATTAGGACTCGGAGCTCTTAAACTCTGAGGTCAGGCGAGCCATAGCGTTCCCCCAGTAATTAGGAACAGTCAAGACAGAGATAGAGACCAGAGCACCCCAGCTGAAATCTGGATGCCCGCCCACAGGAGGGTCCGCAGGAGGGTCGGAAGGAGAGAGGCCCTCGGACAAACGGTGGGGGACTCGTTTGCTGCGGGGCATGTCTAATGTCTCAAGCCATATGGCTGTCCTTCCCTGCCTCCTGAGACTGGAGGAAGCACCTCTTAGGGGAAAGCTAGGGACCTTAGGGGAAATCTTTGGTTAAGGTTTCCCTCCAACCTCTTTAGCTTATTCATTTCATAAAAGTGGCGGAGCGTAGGCAGGGACTTTAAACAGGCTTGGGTATGCCCCAGCGGCATCTTTCTCTTTTCCTCGTTCTTTTCTTTTGCTCTTTCTCCTAACATCCATGCACACACATGAGCAGACACATGTGTGTTGAGAAAGAAGGAAGGGGAAGCTGCTGTCCTGAGCATGTGGTTCCCTCATTGTTACAATCACCACGGGCAACAAGAAGAAATACATATATGCACATTTGGTCTGGTCACTTTTCTGACCTCTTGTGCTTACAAGAAGGAGTTACAATTTTTTTTTTTTTTTTTTTGATACCGGGAATTGAACTCAGGACTTTGCACTTGCCAGGCAGGCACTTGTGCCACTGAGTTATATCCCCGGCCTGTGCTTACAAGAATGAGAAGATAGATTTTTTTGGGGGGGGATGCCATTTTGCAGAAGAGGAAACAAAGCCCAGGGAGGCTAATGGGAACTTGCTTGAATCACTCATGGTGCCTGATGTGGCTCTGGGAGCCAAATCCTAGTTTAAGTGGGCTTGAAGACTGTGTGCTGTCCACACCAGCAGCTGCAGGGAGTGTTTGTCCAGCTCGGGATGCCATTCCTGTTAAAGGAACAAACAGATGACTCAGCGAGAAAGCCCTGAACCCGGATGCCTCAGACAGGTCTGCGGAGAAAGTGTTAACACTATTTTTTACTGTCCGTGTCAATGAAGAGTAATGTTGGAGCTACAGCCTATCTCAAAGGACTCCAGATCTCTTCTATGGCTTCCTGGTGGCCCCGAAGTATGGCTGTGGTTGAGAGTGAGGGCATTATAGGAGGAGCAGAAAACATCTGGCTTGTTGCAGAATTCCCTTCGGGCACCCCTAGGTCTCCGCTGGTAATCTTTTGAGTGACAGAGGCTTAAAGATTGGCATCTTTTCCAGCTGGCTCTCTAGGAAACCAAGAACATGCCCTCTCGGTTTAACTTTATCTGGCTCACTAATTGAGCTCCCCCGAGGCCTGGACCCCAATCCTTGCCCCCTTATTTGCTTCCGGCCTTCCTTCATAAAATTCCTGACATTTGTTTGACTCTGGAAGCCAGCAGCTATCAAGTATCAGATTGGCGGCTATTATGTAGGAAGCACCTGATTTGGGGGTCTTTTAGCTCTGAGCAGCCGCGTGGCTACCTGGGATGCTGGTCAAGATTCTTTTAATTACAGAGCAGACAGCCATTTCTTTAATCCCACACAGGTTACTGAAAGTACTTCAGGGGAGGGTGCAGTGGGGAGGGGCTGTCCTGGCCCGATGCACGCTGGCTGGCGGTCAGGCCAAGTCGACTGTCCGTCTGTCTTTGTTCAATCCTCTGTCTACTGTTGAAGACAGGGGTGAGGGTGAGGGCAGGGACTGAGTCCAACCTGTCCACACAGGCAGCCCCAGAACCCAGGGTAGGGTAGGGATTTTCTCTCTTGGACTTTGTGGAATGAGCAAATAAACACAGGTAATGGGTGTGTAATGGTGACCCACAGGTTCCACTTTTTAATGCTTTACCGTGACCAGAGGCAGGATATAAAATCTGAGAAGTTTGAGAAATGGGGGAAAATGAGAAGATGGAGAGATCTGGGCCGGAAACTGATTTCACAATCGTTTTAGGCATATTCTTTCTTTGTTCTCTCCGGCTCTGGCTTTCAATCCCAGCTCCCACGTTGCTGTCTGAGAACCCTTACCCATCTTCTGATGTTTGATTAGAAGCTATAAATCTCACCTCTGAACAACTTCTGTATTTGGTCCTCTTTAATTCTACCTTCTAGTCTTTCTATGGTGCACATGGCACCCTCAGGCCAGTATCTTCATTTTCTCAGCAGGAAATCACCTCTGGGCTTCTACATGCTTCATCCCGGCTTATTACCCGAGCAAACGTGCAGACCTGTTGAGGGCAGAGTAGAGATCTTACTCATCACTGTCCTTGTCCCATTGTAAAACATTCTGTTCATATTCACTGAGACGGACTAGACTGTATAGTGAGGGCTGGCCGGGAGCCCTGCTCTCATTTAAACCTGGAATTGGTTGCTTATGTGCTGGGCTTTCCATTTTTAGGCTTTTGTTCTTTTTTTTTTTTTTTTGGTACTGGGAATCGAACTCAGGACCTCACATTTGCCAGGCAGGAGCTGCGCCACTGAGCTATATCCCCGGCCCAGCTTCTATTCTTTGTTTAAAAATTAGTACATGTTTTGGTTATGGGAGAAGACTGGGGAGGACTGAACAAGTGCTCCTAAGTGGGGAAGCTGGCTTTAGCTTGGCCTTAGTTCCCTTTCCTATTGCGTATTAGGCTGTTCCTTTCACTGGACCAGCCTGACCCAGTGTCCGGACCAGGGTGGTGATTCGGCTGCTTAGACGCACTTTCTCTAAACTGTGTGCCCAACAAGAACTGTCCTCTTCCACGTGGAAGGACTTATCTCTGATGCTGCTTAGGTGTCAGGCCCCAAACCTGACTTAAACATTTTGGTAGAGCTGTTGTAAAATTAGAGGAACAAAATTGAGGAGGCTAGAAAGAGGAAACAGTCATTTTATAATCTATAGGCAATGCAGTCAAAATGGAAAGATCAGGGGCTGGGGATTTAGCTCAGTGGCAAAAGCGCCTGCCTGGCATGCGCAAGGTCGTGAGTTCGGTTCCCGGTACTGGAGAAAAACCAAAAAAAAAGGAAAGATCTTTGCTATCACCTCATTATTTCTTGAAGTTGAACATTTACCTTTCTTATGGCCCGGTGATTTCACTCCTAGATATGTGAGCCGACGGGAAACATCGTACAGCAGGCTTGAGTGACTGTTCAGATACCACAGGCTGGAGGAAGCCCAAGTGCTCAGCAGTCAGAGAGAAGAATAAACGGATGAACTCACCAAGTGAACAATGATACTCAGCCCAGACGAATAAACTATGACGTGCAAAATTAGGAGTAAATAAAATCTGGAATCAGGAAATATTCTAATAGATGCATCATGAAATCCTTTATAAACTTACAAATAACTAAAATTAAATCTTTTAAGAAATACGCGTTGCTACAATGCAATGATATGGAAAGAAAATCAAAGTAATGATGGCTCCTGACTCCCGCGGAGTCAGTGGAGGTAGGGAGTCAGGCTGGGGGGGACCGGTATGGTTAGTGTGAGTTAGTGTCCGTACTTTACCTTTACTGGGAGAGGGAGGATGCGTTTGAAGGTATTTGTCCGTTAGTAAAAACCCAATAGCCGATTAAATAGCAAGTCCAAGTGGGCTCTGCATAAATCAGTGTC